TTTTTTTTGCCCTCCTTCCCTCTCCCCAACCACCCCACTCTATGTCTGACTTCTCCCTTGTTGGGCCTGGTTGTTCTCAAATTCTTTATGGTCTCTCCTGGGTTATGGTTCTGTTTCTTTTTTTCCTTCTCGTGGTCCTCCTTCCTCTCTCTCTCCTTTGCCTGTTCCCCCTCCTCAGCCTCTCTTCCACTTTCCCTCTTCCTCTCCCTAATTCTCACACACACATAGGCAGACATCCTCTCACTCACGCTGGCTCACATTCTCTCTAGATTTAGAGAGAGACAGAGACAGACTGGCTCCATCCTCTCCCCCTCAGGAGTGCTAAAAACCAGTCCATCTGTTGTAGATCTGCTTATTATTTGAAATTTTGCCTTATGGAGAAAGAGGGAAGCTAGGATTACTGTATTCTCTCACTCTTCTCTTTAAACACAGGGAAGTGACTACTTCTCACCTAATCAGTGCATTAATAAACACTTGGCAGGACCAAAAAAGCCATATTGACATTCTCCCTTTAGGGGAATTGGTATAGCTCTTTTTTTGCAGAAGGGCACTTCATGAATTTTTAATGACTGAAGTGGTGCAGGCTAGTCAGGGCTTCAGCATAGCTCACTCACTCTCCCTGGATATCTGGTTTCCTTCTTAGCACTGTTGGCCCATATTGGACATACAAATTGTGTCAATAGGAAGAGTGAGGCTTTTGAGCAATCAATCTTTTTTTTTTATTGGTTGTTCAAAACATTACAAGGCTCTGGACATATCATATTTTATACATTTGTTTCAAGTGGGTTATGAACTCCCATTTTTACCCCGTATACAGATTGCAGAATCACATCGGTTACACATCCACGTTTTTACATACTGCCATCCTAGTGTCTGTGGTATTCTGCTGAGCAATCAATCTTAACCGTAAGGCTGGTTTTGGTCTTAGGGAGGTTCGGGACTGGAGCCCCATGTTGCTGAGGCTGGTGGTGCCCAGGAATATGGGAGGAGGAGCTTCCATCTTTGAGCTCCTCCCAAGGATTCATTCTTTCCTAGTGCTACTAGAATGGAACTCTGCCAGCAAGGCCTCTTTCTACCTTCCCACCTTCTCTTCCACAATCATCAGGGATGACTGAATGCAATTCTTCCTCATGAAGAGCTGATGTTACCCAGGAGCCTCCACTTCTCCCCAGAAGCCCCCTCCACCAAACTCACTGAGCCTGGTCTTTGTCACCACCAGGTACCTAGCTATCTCTCCTTCTCAAATATGACTTTGCATGCAGAGCTACTCTTAAGGTAGCACTACATAAGGGGTGGCCCTCGGCAATCCAGCTTTCTCCCCATCCCCTCTAGTCTGTCCCTGGGCAGACCATAAATTTAGGGGAAATTCCATCTTTGATCAATGTGATTTACAAAGTCTCTCCACCTTGCCCTGCCATGTCCCTTGCTGCTCTTCTTCAGAATCATGATGAGCATGATACCAGGTCTCACAAGATGAAGTATCTGGTAGGATGCTTGACAAGTGCTATGTCATCTTTAAGAAGAAGCCAAGTTGAGCCCTTCTCCTTCACAACAAGGCTCCATTTTGGAAATGCAAATGAGATCATTTTAGAAGGGATGGAATGCTCCAGGAAGGAAGTAAATTTTTAGTCCCTGTCTTATAGGTCTTTGAGTTAGTCTTCCTTTTTTTACAGTTGGGTTGATGAGTAATGTGCCACATCCACCCACCTTGGGAGCCAAACCCTATATTTTGTTGACTGGTGTTAGCAATGTCATTCATTGGATGCTAGAGAGTCAAAGTCTTCTTTCCATATGGATTAAGTGCCAACTATAGACCTCATTACCCCACTTTCTCTAACTTCCTGAGATAACCTGCCTGCATTGGCATCTTAGTGTATTTGGGCCACATTAATAAAGTATCAAAGACGAGCAGCTTATACCAAACAGGAATTCATATTCCACAGTTCTAGAGGATGGAAGTTCAAGATCAGGGGCCAGAATGGCCAGGTCTTGGTACGTGTGCACTTCCTAGCTCACAGATGGCTATCTTATCACTATGTTCTCGCATGGAGGAAGGGCCAAGAGAGCTCTCTGGGGTCTCTTTTATAATGGCACTAATCCCATTTATGAGGACTCTGCTCTTACACCTAATCACCTACAAAGCCCTTACCTCTGAACATCAACACCCTGGGGATTATATTTCAACCTTTGAATTTGGGGGGGACATAAATTCCATCTACAACAATTATTTGAGCAAAAAATTTCCCAGGAGCCCTGTAAAGGTACCCTTCCTTTTCACGAGGGAGGGGCCAGGGAGTTGTGGAGAAACGTGGTACTCCCTCCCAATTGTCTCTGCCCTTTCTGGATGAAAGCTTTACCCAGGGTAGACCTGCTCTCCAAGGGGCAACTGGAAATGGGCGGAAAGGTGTTCGCCATGACATCGATGCCAGCAGCCAGGAAGGCCAAATGCTCTGCCATGCCACCTACAGTCTGCACTACCCAAAGCAGAAACACAGCTGGGAAGTCACTAAAACCCAGCGACACAGAAATAGAAGTCCCCTAGAGGCCAGGATTTGTTGTCCTCGTTTTACAGAGGAGAAAATCTTGGCCAGAAAGGGAAAGTGGGTTGCTTAATGTCACACAGCTAGCTAGTGGCAGAGCTGGAGTGGAACCCAGCCTGGGGTTCACCTTCCAGCCAGGACACCCTCTGCAGTGCTGATGCCGCAGAGGACTGGGGAGGCATTGGGCGGCAAGAGTGCCTTGCTGAGCGTGGACTGCAGGCACAGGACAGGCTGGGCCACTGGGCAACTGCTGACTGTATCTGAAATTCTGGAGGTGAGCCAGCATGTGGTACCCTGAGCCTGCAATGTTGGGCCTGCTCTTTTCCTTTGGATTGACTTATTTTGCTCAGATCTTCCTTCTCTTTCCAAAAGACACCCCCAGACACCCCCTTCATTCAGGAGTAACATTAGTTAGCTTAATGAAATGGAGTCATTTCCTTTGGGGTAGAAGTTGGTCTTTCTAAGGGAGGGCCCTGTGTAGTGTACCTTCAATGAAGGATAGAGGAGAGGCTGTGGGTGGGCTAGTGGCAGGAGGCCAGAGGCCTATTCTTAGCTCTGTTGCTATGTGTTGTGGTGCAGGCCATTGAGGCTTCTTGTTCTTCTTGGCCCAATCAGCTCTCAGCATTCTGCATCCTGTGCTGGGCCTTGGAGATCACCAGCCATGCGTCTCTTTCAAGCCTTGGCTGGTTGGGGATGGGGAGGGAATACTGGAATAGCTACATGTTTCATCCAGTGTCCAGCAGGAAACAAAGAGTATATGCCAATGAGGCAACTCAGGTGAGTTTAATAAAAGAACTGTTTTCTGAGGCAGGATCAGGTGTGGGGTAGCTAATGGTCTCAGAGTCCCTCTATCTCCCCCTGTAGACTTTCTTATTCCTTATAGAGAGGACACTTGGTGGCTGGGTATCTTCCTCTTTTATTTTTCCTCTAAATCCATTTTTTCAGACTTCTTTGCTTGCTCTGGAACCTCAAGTTCTGCTATCCCTTCCTTCTCTCATCTGTTTTGGACTAAAGATATGGGAAACAAACCCCCTTTCTCTCCTAAGCACTCAGTC